ATCATGGTCTGTCATTTTGAGACATGCAAGCTTGTTTGTTGTATCATAGAGACGTTGAATATCATTAGCATAAATGCTTTGAGCTTTCTTCCAAAAAGAGTGACAAGTATTAAAGGCTCTAAGAGATATCAAAAGTCAAGGTTCCACAGATTGCCACAATAGGGCACACAATTGGAAATCTGCTTGTTCCATTATTCAGCTTTTTCAGACGGTACTTGGCTTCCATCCTGCTCAAGGTGGACATAATGTCCTTGACCGAGAAACCACATTTCCACGGCAGCAGACCAAGAGAGGTAATTCTTTCTGTTTAGCTTTTCGAAAGTAATTGAGGGACTTCCAGAGAAAGAAAGAACACTTCAAGACGCCATTGTTGATAAAAATAAGAGAGGAACCAGAAAGGAGCCAGAAAACCGAGAGGAACTAGAAAACCCTAGGGGTTTCTTAGGGTTTTCTTCAAGGGGAACTTCTGGACCTCACTAAAGCAGGGTTTTAAGGGGCAGAGCAGAGAGGGGAGGTCCAGGCGACGACTATGGAGGTGTCGTGGTGACGGACAGTGACGGCAAATGGCGGCGGACGGTGGCGGACAGATGCATGATGGCAGAGAACCAAGTTGAAGAGCTTCAAACTGCAGTTGACAGCTGCATACAGTGGCAAGACAACCGCGGACGACGGCAATGGGCACCAGACAGATGCAAACAGCAATGACAATGCTGGTGGACCACTTTAGGACAGAAACCAGAGCAGGATGAACCTAGGTTCTTCTATTGGAGCAAAAAGTAGCTGAAGTTCTTAATCTTATATGGCAGTGAGGCAGCCAGAAAAAGTGTATTAAGAGCCCAAAACGAGTTCTATTGTTAGAGATGCTCTAAGGGTACCAGTTCAAGGTTTAATGGTCCAATTGTAGTATAATATTTAATATTTAAATAATATTTTTTAAATTTTAGTGTAACTTTTAACAATGTTATACCAACATACTATGTCCAGAAAATATGCATCGGTATTGTTAGCATCATCATAATAATAATAACATAAAGACATGGTTTTATTAGCTGGCCTAAAAAATTACGAGGGATTTTATATATCTGCATTTGGCTGGATTCTAATAGTCATCCATCCACAATTCCAATACATTTTCAAACCAACAGTACTGACACTGATTAAACAAACGACAGTAAGGAATGAAGTAAACAGTGTGGTTTCTATAATTGCTTCACAGTTATTAAGTAAAAGAAAACTGTTGCATATGTCGTTCTGTCTCAGTAGGCTGTCCCATGTACACATAACCCAAGTCTAAAACCTTCCATTCATTCTTCGATGGATATTTGTGGATTTAAGGTCATCTCTCTTAATTTTACCCTTAATCTGTGTTGATGTATGAACATCTTACTGACATTGAAAGGTATTTACAAGATTAACAAGCTTGTGTTGTGAGGCATGCACTCAGCAGAAGTAAAGCCCATTTTGGTTTGATTATATTCCACAACAGTACTGGGCCTAGGGAAGGATATGGCAATGGAGTGAAAGTAAAGCACCACACCAGGTACTCTAATAACTGTAAATTACTGGTGTTCTAAAACAGGAAATGAACATCCTTCAAGTTAAGTATTGCTAAACTGGCCAACTCTGCTGAAACACTGGTTCAAGACAGGTCTTACTAGTTAAAGACCGCTTTATTTATAAAGTGGTTTTGAGGTTATTCCTAACAGGATACCAAGCCGGTTCCATTTTAATAATCATGCAGATACTTAACTATATTTAACTTTCCTCTTCAAAAAGTGCACAATACCAAAGTAGCAGAAACCCTCTTCTTTCCGGAACCTCGTCTTGATGTGCCAGAACTAGGACTCCCATTTGATGAAGTGCCTCTTCGACTCACTTTGCCATTGGATAACGACCTCTGCACACATATCATGCACATTAGATAAGCAAGATCCCAGTAAAGTGCTAATAGATAAAACAGGATAAGGATATTTACAAGGGACTTGCTCTCATCATCACACATGCGTGAGTTGACAAATACATGTTCCCAAAAAAGCTAATATAATGACAAGGGACAATCAAATAAGCTTTGAGATTTCAAAAGTTGTTCACAAAAAAAAATACCCGAGGTCCCTTGGCAGCTCTTTTCTGGCGCACAAAATCCATCAGTGGTGTACTTATAGGAATATCTTTTGCAGCACCTGGTAAAGCACGTAAACCCAGTAAGTAACAAATGGGGGAAAATAGTATTTTGTGCCCATTATATGTCTGCATGGTTTTAAGTCCTAAAACTTTCAAACTTAAAATTTACTGTGAAGCCGTGTATGCATGGTTTTAAGTCTCAACTTTCAAACATAAAATATACTTTGTATCCATTTTGCGTATATTTAGGTCTCAAAACTTTCAAACTTAAAATTTACAGGGTATCTTCTGCATTAGTTGACTAACCAGATCGTTCTGCTTCTCTCTTCTCCAATTGTATCTCAGCGCTGGGAAGATTCTCAACAGGCTTGGAAAGTAGTTCAAGAAACTCCAGATACTCAGAATCTAGATGTTCATCATGGAAAGGCTTACATTTATCAAAAGGAAAAGACTATAATCTATTGAGATGCATATAATTCCTATGGAGATACTCCAGATACGTTCATATAATTCCTATTGAGATAAACATATCCACTACAATTTACTTAAACCATTATCCAAGTGGTACCTTTATATATGGTCCCATCACGACCATCCTTTTTAGACCACTGTCTTGGAACGCGTTGGGAAGGAGCATATTCAACAATAACTTTGAACTGAGATCCTAGGAAGCAACAAAGGTGAAACAGAGAACCACATTCAGTATCTATTATCCAATTCTCATTGTTTCATGCAGAAAATATGTAAAATGCATAAAATATACTTGTGAAAGTCTTGATATTCCAAAGGCTGAAAACATATATTTCTTGCCATGAAAAACCTAAATGAAAACATATATCGAATACTGAACTACAGGGCAACAAAAACCAAACCGTGGCATTGGCCAAATTCGATAATTGATTGCAAGAACGACAAAGATAACAGCTTCAGCAAGATCTTAAGCATGCCTAGTAAACCACTTCACATGATTTCATTGATTACCCTTTTCATTCACAAAGACGTGTCCATTAAAGAACTCCGCAAACAGTATAACGTCATCTGGCCTCTTGAAGTCAATGTAGGCTCTAGAATATGATATATGCTTCTGGCTGAAAAATCCATACAAAAGAATCATAACATAAAGTCAAAAAGGATTTTCTTGACATATTATTGAACAGAATATCTAAATTGTAAACATCGACGCCCAAATCGCATTACAGATGTTCACTTATAATCATAATAATAACTACCAGTTAAATGATATTCCCCGTAGAAAAGACAAAGTTAATACATAGTTTATGCTATTATAACAATTATATAGAATCCGGTAGGCAAAACCATACGTACCCTAGCCTAGCCTATCCAAGCCTAGGCACGGTCAATTGACTACTGTGATAAAAAGCAGCACGCAATGAAATATATATGAAGAAAAAACGAAGCCGAATGCGAATGGAGGGATAGAAATTAATGTCACCTGATTTTGCCAGGACGGAAAGAAAACCAGTTGTAGCGGTCAGCGAAGGCGGCATCAATTTGGGCCAAAAGAGCGGCCTCAGAAAGAGAGGGCGGCAAGTGACGCAGCACCACCTTCGTCCGATCCAACGCACCCTTCATGCCAAAACCCTATCCTCACCGCACACTCTTACAGTTACAGTTACCACTTGTCTATCAAATAATCAATCAATCAACCAATCAAGGAGTGCGCGAACGACAATCTCGATAGGATTACATCTTCTCCACTGTTTCAGATTGAGAGGATCAACTCAGCGAAAACGTATGCCCTAATTCCAAAGAAAACCCCCAAATTGCCATGCACTCAAAGAAAACAAGACAGAAGAAGGGTTTGCGTGCGTTTGGAAGGGTGTCAAATTAATTTAAAAGCATATACGGTTGCGTTTTGCGTTTTGTGTTTTGCGTTTTGCGTTTTCTACTTCTGACTTCGGGTGCCCTCTTGGAAGTTTAAGAGAATTATGCCTCCTCCATTTTCGAATAATATCATTTTAATATTAAATTAAAACATAAATGTTTTTCATAAAATTATTTCAGTTGCTACAATAATATTAAATTAAAACATAAATGTTTTTCATAAAATTATTTCAGTTGCTACAATCTAATTATATGCTCCTTTCATACGTTTTTATTGGATAATAAATTATTTATAATTATAATATTCTCTAATATAAACTTAAAACTATATTTTATTACTCGTACTCAAGATTTCCACATGCTTTATTCCAGAAGAAGATAGCGTCTTTATAAATACATTTTTACGTCAACAAAAGAAATATATATGGTTAATATGTGATCAGTGTTTTATTAATTGTTTAAAGTCGTAATTTAATGTTATTTTAGATCATTATTGAGAGAGTGTATATATAATCGTAAATGAAATCACGACACAAGTAAGGTATAATGTCATGTTTTTTAAAATATTAAAATAAATTCATTAGCCATGAAAATTAATTCATTAAGAAAAATCATACTGTATATATTGTCTTTGGATTGAATATTTCATAACTTGTTGTATTTAGATTTAATTGTGTGTATTTATTTGATTTGATTGGTAGTTGTTTGGAGGAAATCGTGTTTTAATGTCATGATATAATTATGCTTTTTAATGTCATGATATAATTATTTAAAAAATCGTGTTTTAAAATTAATCATGTTTTTAAGACATACAAATTCCATTATTTCAAGAATAAAAATTTAAAATATAAATAGAATATTTATAAATAAGTTTTATTATTTTAAAACCACTCTTATTTTTTAAAACACTTTTTTCAATAATTTTTTTCTTTTTTTTTTAGATTTTTCAATCATTTGTTTATTTTTTAAAATGTTAAAGCTACGGTGACTTTTAAAATGAACTTTTCATTTATGTTTAATCAATTTTTTTAATATAGTAGATTATTATTTTTAGTGAGTTTCTTTTATGCATCTTGATCGTCGTTGTTCAAATGTAATTTGAGTTTTATATAAGAGTTTTTATTGATTAGCGTTTCTAATGTGTCCTAATTGTGTTTGTGTTGCTCCACGTTATGATTAAATGCACAAAATTTGCGAATGTTTTTGCATTGAGTGATATCAAGATATTGCAGAGCACCATCATTAATTGCAAATCTGAAGCATTTTTGCTTGAGGTTGTTAGGCACCATAAAGTGTCATTGAACACACATTTTTACAAGAAAAATGGTGTTCAACGTTGTTGTTAAACGTCACCTTTTGCGAAAGGTTTATCGTTGAGCGTTATATTGTATGCTAGAATTTTCTTTTGCTTTGGCTTGTTTTAGATATATTTACTGTGGATTTTATGCATGTTTATTTGTAAGGAATTTACACGGAGGGAATCCTACTGAATGCGTTTTATCATGTTTGTGTAGCCATCCTAAATCGTACTAATAATTTATATTTATGTAAAGGATAATGTTTAGATAGTGAGAATCACAAAAAGGTTTTGTGATAAGGATGACCCCAAAGTTCTCATGACCGTGATAGAGATTAACATTGCATTTGTTAGCTCGATAGAATAGCTCAGTAAAGTAGTATTTTGTCACAAAGCGCATGATTTTAATAGTCGAACTCAAGACACGTATTTGGATAAATAGAGTCTAATAAGAGTCTTTAAATGTCATATGCTTGTTTTTGTGAATGAATGATGTGTGATGATGAATCTTTGTCTATTTTATGAATATTATTTATGTATATTAGCTTATCCATTTAATATTGTGTGTTGTATTATATGAAGTATATCGATCGGAATTGATTGTCAATGACCAGGTACTAATAGGTCAGATTGTCTTACGCTCTACAGATATACGACATTAGCTAATGGTTAATCAATGGACGTGGTTGTCGGAAGCCTTATAAGTAGACAACGGACGTTCAGGTACAATCATCATTTTCTATCCTAGTAAAATATAGACTTCTTTATGAAACATATCTGACTTGAGCGTAGGAGTGTCTTCTGCAGGTCAACAACCCATTTGAGTGGACCGCGTTCTCGAAGATTATTGAAAATCAAAAGAGAGCAGAGCAAGGAAGGACGACCGACCCTCGGACCAATTCGAAATATTTTGGCGCCCACCATGGGATCGAGCGGCATCCCCATGAAGCCACCAAGAACCAGACGCGCTTGGTCTCGACATCACTACTTCGGATCAACACCAGTTTTCGCAACAAGAGTAAAAAATTTCGTAATAATTCCTAAACACATGTCTTTTATTTTGAGAATTTTCAGTAAAGTTCAACCCTACATCCAACCTTGACAGGTTATAGTTTTCATTATAATTTCCAAATTATAATATATTTGTTTAATAAATATTTTTGTGAGTAAAAATATCGTGCACAGTAAGGTACAAAAGTTGCGTTCAACCTTGTCAGGTTCTACCAATTTTTAATTTTAAATTATAAAATATTATGCACAGGATGGTTCAGACCTACGTTTAACCTTGTCAGGTTCTACCAACTCTTAATTTTAAATTATAAAATATTATGCGTTCAAAGTTGCGTTCAATCTTGTCAGGTTCTAACGACTCCTAATTTTAAATTATAAAATATTATGCACAGATGTTTTAGAGCTGCGTTCAACCTTGCTAGGTTCTAACCACTCTTAATTTTAAATTATAAAAGTTATAATATATTATGCACAGGATGGTTCATAGTTGCGTTCATCCTTGTCAGACCAACTCTTAATTTTAAATTATAAAATATTATGCACAAATGGTTCATGGCTTCATTCAACTTGTTAGGTTCTACCGACTCTTAATTTTAAATTATAAAATATTATGCACAGGATGGTTCAGAGCTGCGTTCAACCTTGTCAGGTTCTAATGACTCTTAATTTTAAATTATAAAATATTATGTGCAGGAAGGTTCAGACCTCAACTTGGTCACCTGCTCGGGGGAAGTCAGAAAAATGATTTCAGAAATCCCCGCTCAACGCATGAAGTCAGAAAAATTACTCCTGCCTCAGGACCGCTCGGGGGAAGTCAGAAAAATGGCTTCAGAAATCCTCACTCAACGCAGGAAGTCAGAAAAAATGGCTTCAGAAATCCCTGCTCAACGCAGGAAGTTAGAAAAATGACTCCTGCCTTAGGACCGCTTGGGGGAAGTCAGAAAAATGGCTTCAGAAATCCCCGCTTAAAGCAGGAAGTCAGAAAAATGACTCCTGCCTCAAGCCGTTTGGGGGAAGTAAGAAAAATGACTCCTGCCTCAAGCCGTTCGGGGGAAGTCAGAAAAATGGCTTCAGAAATCCCCGCTCAACGCAGAAAGTTTGAAAAAGAACTCTTATCAGTCAACTACTCAACAGGAGTTCGTCGCTCGGTACATAGAGCAATGAAGACTTAAAGCATCAAAGATAGACTCCCTAAATACAACGTGGGCGACCTCTTTTAAAGCTCAACATAATCCCTACGCACCTCTTTTAATAAAGAGCTTGCTCGGACTTGGGAAACTTATCGGAATTGATTGTCATTAAGCAGGTGCTAATAGGTCAGATTGTCTTATGCTCTACAAATATACGACATTAATGATTAATTATTAATCAATGGACGTGGCTGTCGCAAGCCTTATAAGTAGACAACTGGTGTCCAGGTACAATCATCCTTTTATATCCTAGTAAAATATAGACCTTTTTATGAAATGACTTGAGCGTCGAAGTGTCTTCTCTAGATCAACAACTTATTGGAGTGAATCACGTTCATCTCACGACCGACCCTCAGACCAATTCAACCGAAACAGTGTGATTATGTTTTTGTTACACTATTTACGAAGATAACAAATCTAGTATAAGATGTGGATGATGCAACAACTTATATCAGGTCAATGATTAAATGTAATTTTAACTTTTAAAAAACTCAAATTTATATCGGTATAATTATATGATTGAATATACTCAATACAGACTTACATGATATTATAATATAATAATTATATGTTAATCTACTCAATAATTATCATATTTATAATATATTTATTTAATACTTTTAGATTATTAAATAAAATGTTAAACACATCAACAACAAAATTGTTAATGTTGAGTATCTTTTATTATTCAACATATTTATAATGAAAATAGTATAAGTTATTCGTGTACAGAATCTTATATTTCTTAATTTTTTATACACACATTAACAACGTTGTCATTTTATAAAGAAATGATCACTTACTAGATTAATAAAAAAATTAAATAAGAAAACTAATTAGAAAAATATAACAAAATTTGAATACTCAATAAATAAGAAAGAAAATAATAAACTATCATTTTCTTACACCAAAAGTCAAATGTTTAATATTTAATTAATGAATATTTAGTCATTAATATAATACTTAATGCCATCAGTGTAATATTAAATAAAAACAATTTTCTTTACAGAGTATTAAATATTACATTTATTGAATATAATGTAGTCATTAAAATTAATAATTAAATATACATTTATTAAATGCTTGACCTACATGCATAACAGCACATACCCGAAAAGTAATTATTTCAAGTATTAAATATAAACTGTTATCAATGATTTTATATTTAAGAAAAATTATATATTTATTAAATTAGTAATTAGAATATAAAATGCGTATAATTATTTAAAAATGAATATATGCATATTCAGACGTACATGTCAAAAGGATACTGAAAAAAATATTTATTAGTTTTAGTATTTACATATAATATATAAAACATATAAAAAGTTAATTTAAAGAAATACTTTAAAATAGAAAAATAAAATTCATGTTAGGACATATAATAAAATATATATAGTGTTTGGTTCCGTTCCGTTCCGTCTCATATTTGCTTCTTCTCCGTCTCTCTCTGGCTTTGGAGGTTTGATATAGGGATTTGGTGTGTGGCTGTGGGGTTTGCGAGACACTCACTCGGTCACTCGCTCACTC